CGTAAGCTCCTAAAAATGTCGAGAAGTAGATTTCTCTTTTAAGGAAAAACTTATATTTTTCGTTGATTTTTAATATTAAATTTACTTCTATACCTTAAAAATGTAACGCTGCATGCTTTCGAGATATGTTTTGAAAAATTATTTACTGCTTTGTAGACATAATCCAACTATTTTTTTAGTCCAAATATTATTAGTAAGGGTGAAGAAAATTTAATGAGTAACAGAAATATAAAGATATACAGGGTGGTCCGAACTGTATTCCGGAAACTTCGGCAGCATATTCTGCAGATAAAAATAAGTAAAAAAGTTCGTTTTAATGTATGTCCTAAAATGCTTAGTTTCGAAGATACAGGGTGTCGAAGTTTCATTTTTATTTCGATTTTTTCCAAATATTTTATGAAGTAACGTCAATATTTGGACGAAAATTTGTGTCTGGGAGTTTTTTGATATGAGATATTTAATTTTGATGTCAATATGACTCCTACTAGTAGAGGGCGCCACCTACATTTTTTTAACTGGTTAGAACAGTAATAACTTTTCGTCCGTACCTGTTTAAAACTACCGAGTAAAAAATATACATTCATGACGCTTTATACGTAAAAAAGGTCTCTTGATAAAAATCTCTACGAGTAATGGTTTTCGAGATATTTGGAATAGAAATTATCAATACCCGTCATCATTGACATAAATTAAACATGTTGCCTAAATAGTTATTAGACTAAAATCATAAATTTGAAATGTTTTTTTTCAAAAGTTCAACAGAAACTGTTTTGTCATCATTTTTTGCAGAAATATTTATGATTAGTTTGAAAAAATAAAAAATTCTCAAATTTATTATTTAAGTGAAATAACTCTCTACTCAACGTGTTTATTTTTCGTCAATAATGACATGTATTGACTATTTCCAGTCTAAATATGTTGAGAAGGGTTGATCGTAGCAATTTTTACAAAGATACATTTTTTACGTAAAAAGTCACGGAGATATATATTTTTTCCCTCGATAGTTTTATACAGGTACGGACAAAAAGTTATTACTCTTCAAAACAGTTAAAACCTTTGCATGGTGGACGGAAAAAGGACTCTAGGGTGGGGATCCTTGACAGTTCTGTTTGACGATTCATTTGACACATTTGAATTTGATTTGAAATTTTGTGGATTTGTCAGTCTTTACGGAGCTTATTTTATTTTATTTATTATTTATTCTACTACTGATAGTTGTATATAGGTAGTAAATCTAGATGGAAATTGTGGCAGAACTTAAATTAACAGTGACACTATCGCGATTTATCGAAAAAGACTCTAAAATAGTTGGTTATGTAGCGTGCGGTAGATCTCGGCAAAAATCGAGTGAAATAATGGAACAACCTTTCGGTAGTAAGTGACTATATAATATACATACGTGTAGTAAAACGATCATTTATGAAATTCACTTAAATTAACTAATTATATATTTTTTCTTGCATTTTTGCTTTTACTTACTACTGGTCAAAGATTAGATGTCAAAGAATTTAGATACGTAAATTTGCTTTCAGTACACTTACCTGCACTTTCACCTCACTTACCTACTTCAGTAGCGTATCGGATGTTTGTGTTAATAATTAAATATTAAAACATCTATTTTTATTATAATAGTATGTTTTTATAACAATTTTAATAACTACCAACATTTATTCACAACGTAAAATAAAAAAAAATATTGAGTCTACCACACGTCTACCCTACATCATAGTTTTATATTTTTTAAATAAAATTAGAACGGCACTGATAAACCGGAATTTAAGTCGGCCATATTTGAGTCCCATCGCGTTGGACCTAAGATTTTTGATATGCCCCTTCCTTAGTCTTTTTATTCAGAGGTTAAAACACATCTAAGTGGCGCCCACTACCAGTTAGCAGTCATATTAACATCAAAATAAAAAGTATCATGTCAAAAAACTCCTAGACACCAATTTTCATCCAAATATTGAAGTTACTTCAGAAATTATTTGGAAAAAATCGAAATAAAAATGAAACTACTACACCCTGTATCTCCGAAACTAAGCATTTTAGGACATACATTTATAAGAACTTTTTTACTTATTTTTATCTGCAGAATATGCGTCCAAAGTTTCCGGAATACAGTTCGGAACACCACACGCCGTATATAGGTATTCTGTAGTGGTAATCAATATTGATAAATTCGTATTTCAGCCATAACGTTCATTTCTTTACGTAACAATATTGAAAAGCAAAAGTATCTAATAGAAATTTTGATCGGAGTTGGTTAATGGAGGTTCACTACTGAAAATTTATTATTTTACGAATTGAATATGTTAAATTTATTTAAAACACTATAACTATGTTTTAGAATACAGCATTTAAAAAGAAATGTAAATCATATACCCACCTATTGTGATATTTTATTACCTACTGTACTACCTATTGTAATTGTTTATATTATATTTTAACTTATCTTTAAATACAATCATATACTAATTATAATTTTCGTTTTTATTATTTAATAGTTTTTTTGGTAAAATAATTATTAAAAAAAATGCTTTATTCCTTAATTTATTTTTGTTACAAAATTAATATTAAAAACTTCTAGTTTTACAAGTAAATTTCGAAATAACTTTTTAGATTATGAATATTTAGTAAATTTTAAACGTTGTTTAAAATTATTTTTAAAAGTTAGTAAATGAAAACAAAAAGTTTTTAACTTTGTATTTTAGCTAGCAGTCTACTACTTAGAGTTTTAATTAGAAAAACAGAGATGATTTGTAAATGTAAACAGAGCTTCGCGCTTTGTAAACATTTTTCGTGAATAAAATTACATTATTTTTATTTAAATTTTCAGGCACTTTGTCAGAATGAACTCTTAGACATCTTTGGTTCTAAAATCATATAATTTTTTATGTATTTGAAAATATGCATTAGTTGTTCGTATATAAATAAAAACTTCTGTCGTGTCGCTAGGAAATCGCACCTTTAAAATGTCCCTGTTTCAGCTTGTTTAATGCGTTTGTGTGCCGGCGCCGGCGGTACGGCACCCAGGGTTCGCTTCCTTACAACATGGTGGGGATTATTATTGCTTGGTACACTGCAAGTTTGGTTTATGACAAAGTCAAATGGTTAAAACTATGGATGGTTCTTAAAGAAATGGGCGTGCCTCTTCGTTTGATTTCATTGATCCAGAATCTCTACATAAATACCAAAAGTAGAATTACCATCAGTGGCGTTACTTCGGAAGACTTCCAGATCACCTGTGGTGTTAGGCAGAGGCGCATACTATCTCCTCAATTATTCAATACATATACTGAATATATCATGAGAAGGGCACTGGAACATTGACAAGGGGGGACAACAATTGGTCACAAAATCACCAACCTCAGATTTACAGACGATACGGTACTTTTAGCGGGAAACGAATTAGAATTACTGCAGCTTCTAAAAATGGTTGAAGACGAAAACGAGAAACTTGGACTTGAAATTAATCCCTCCAAAACAAAAATTATGATTATCGACAGGCAAAACACCAACAAACCTGATGTAGTGAGTATTGGGTCATTTATAAACAACACATGATCGTTAGAAGGGGAAATAAGAAGAATATGTGAAATGACAAGAGTGGCAGTGCGGAAACTCTCAAAGATATGGCGAGACAAAAACATACCTAAACATTTAAAAAAAGGCTTGTTCACTGCCTAATATATCCCATATTAATGTATGGTTCCGAGTCCTAGACGATAAGACAGTCAGAAATGAAGAAAATCGACCCAACTGAGATGTACTGTTGGCAACGAATGCTCAGAATTCCCTGGACTGACCGGCGAACCAATGAATCCATAACCCAAGAACTGTTCGGTCACTTTATGAGGAGAGATACTGACTGTATGGAGAAACTCATTATACAGGGCAAGGTTCCAGGAAGAAGATCAAGAGGCCGCTCACCCTCCCGATGGATAGACCAGCTATCAAAGGTCACCCACAAGCCACTGCACACGCTTGTACATGAAGCACAAGACAGGGAATTATGGAGACAAACCTCACACATCACCTGACCACTACATTCCTGTGTAGAAATAAAGACAGAAAGAGAGAGAAGACTCACCCTGTACATAAGAATGTCAAAATTATTATGTGCATTTGAATAAGTCAAATGTGATATTCGTAACTAAAATTATAAATATATTTAGCTATCGTTATAATAATATTATTATTAGCTAAATGTATTTACCTAACAAAAACCTTAATTTCGTTTACGTCGCTTAGTAAATTTCTCACAGAAAATAAACATTTTTATACTGTAACGTTTTTAGTTCGTTACATGTCTTTCATATATAATATATGATGTCCGGCGTATCATTACCGGATTCCGTATCGCTGAGGCCTGATAATTTACTTGACGCGCCTGGCGTAATTTTTAGTTCTCTAGTCAGCAACCCTGTTATCGTTTCACTGCTTCTGTGGAGGGCTGTCAAGATCGTTTCAAGGCGCCTCTCTGCCCTTTAACTTCACTTTTTGGTTTGGCCGGTTTGCGGCACGGTTGCAAACCCTGCTTTTAGAAATGGTAATTTAAATCTTGCTGCAAAATCTGAATCAGCTGTCATTTCGAAGCTACAGGTAAAGATGAGATATTATTATTGAATATTTTTAGGGTAGAGTTTTGGATTGGCCCACCTCAACTCGTATTTGGTGTTTGCTGACACATTGGTTTTCTTTTGTCCTCCAGAATGTTAAATGGAAGAAGGTTCTTTTGTTTATTATTGAGCCCTCGGAAGTATTTCGAGGTAGGTTTATTTTGTTTATTAGACCTTGTTTGGTTTTAAACAAGAGTTTCGTATTTTTAGGGTCCAAGGTTATGGTCCAAGGTACGGACTATTTCCAAGTTACGGACATTATCTTATGGTTGGATGTCCAAGGTACGGACAGTATCCAAGGTACGAGCATTATCCAAGGTCCTAGTAGTGTTCCAAGGTACGGGTAGTGTTCCTATGTACAGATGTCCTTTGGATGGTTTATCTTATGTATAGAGTGCCCCAGCGTGGATGTGGCATAGGCTCCATGCTGCTTCGTTCCTGTTTTTAAGCCTAATCGATAGTTACGGCTGTGTTAGTTCATGGTGTCCGCATCCTAGCCCCTGTTGTTGCATTGGCCGAGAGACAGTAGAGAGATACGAGTCCCACCTCACATTGTTACTGTCTGAAGCAAGATTACTTAAAAAACAAACAGCTAAGTGTAGATTTAAGTGCTAGTTTTACGTTTTACATTTACATTTTCAGTCTTAAAAAAATAACATACATCTTATCATACAGACTTTACGTTTAGTGGTTAAATTCCTTATGTTTCATTACGAACATATCTTGTTATAGTATTTCTTTCTGTATATATCTATTGCATGATTTTAAAGATGAATAACCGAACAGATTCTAGAATCTACGCTTGAAACATCTCAGGTTTAATATCGTATAAAATATAACAAATTAATTAAAGTAATAATATCTTTCATATATTTTCTATAACTTTACATGTATTGTATTTTATCATAGTCGTTTTCATAGAACATATTTAGTAATATTATTTTTAACATAACTTTCTTCGACATTTTTTAGAATTTAGAATTTAGAATGAGTGGGAGGGGGGTTAATCACTTCGACCTTACAGATCCATTGTGTCCCCCTTTCTTGAATCATAACTCATCATACAGTCCCAGGGCTTTGACAAAAGCCAGTATCTGGGACGGTTTTATAGAGAGTAGTTCTCCATCTCCAATATCAGTCGTACCAAAATTCATGGCACGAATGGTTGTCGTCTCGGCGCACTCAGTGATGAGGTGTACTGGTGTTTCCCCCATCTTCCCACAGAATCTGCATTCGTCGTTTCTTCTTAGTTTCAATCTACTGAGGTGTTCATTGAGGAGACAGTGTCCTGTTAAAACCCCGTGACAATCCGAAGATTGTTCTTACTCAGACCCAGGAAGATCTGTGATTTTTCTTGATCATAAGCCCTCAGAAACTTCTTCGAGTGTCTTAGACCATTGCAAGATTTCCATTCCAGGTTGCGGATGGAATCTTCCAAGTTCTTGAGTTCCGCCTTGAGTTGGTTACCACTTGGAAAGCAGAACGGTTCTGGTCCAGTTAGTGGAGTGTTCGCTCCTTTCCTAGCTAGATTATTTTGCTTTTCATTGCCTTCTATCCCTTGGTGAGCAGGCACCCAGTGTAGGAGGACTTTGTTTTCTTTGCCTAATTTATTCAGCTTCTCTATGCATTCTTTGACCAATTTCGAATTGATTGATACTGAGTTGATCGCCTTTAACGCTGATTGACTATCAGATAAGATGGCTATTTCCTGCTTCCGATAGTTCCTATCTAAGATAAGTTGTACGCATCTCTCGATAGCGTAGATTTCTGCCTGTAGGATACTAGGGTAAGTGCCCATTGGTTCGGAGTAATTAGCTCTCGGCCCAAACACTCCGATCCCTGTTCCCGTATTGGTTTTTGAAGCATCAGTATACCAAGGTTATGGTATGGTCCTTTAACTGCTGGGCAAGCGTTTCGCTCTTCCAATCCTTCTTATTGCTCAATACTACATTGACATGTTTGTCAAAGTTGTACGTTCTTGGCATATCGTCCACTGGGAGTTGCAGGAGTGGTATTTCCTTTTGAGGGTGCTCCAAGCCCCTGATCTGACAATTCTCTCTCTTCGACATGATTATAACCACTATAATGATTAAAATTTTACAATGTTATTTACCATCAAAGAACATCATGAATAAATATAGTCATTAGTTTTAAGTAATATACAACTGTGTTTTCTTTCTCTGTACATGCCTGGCGCCCAATATCTATTTTTTTTATTTATTGTTATTAATTAGTTTTCTTTCCAGTGAAATACCTTATCCAATGACTGCTCTCCGATGAAAAGCTGCCGTTCGCAGCGGAGTTGTTTAAAAAACGCTATAATACCAAAACTAAAATACAAAGGAAAAATAAAATAATTTATCAAATAAAGATTGTGTATAATATGGTACTATGTATTTAAAATGTGAAGAAAAAGTAAAAAATATGTAAACGCTTTCAAAATTAGCAGTATTATGAAAAAAAAATCTACAAACTAATAGATATCTGACTAAAGAACATTTTATTTAAAACAATGCAATATTTTGAAAAAAGAACTACATTATAACCAGGAGATATCGGCAATGATAATGTTCTTGTCATATGATCAAAGTTCAGAATTTATTTTCTGTAAAATTAGCGCTAAAACTAAAACCAAAGTGAACGTGCGCTAAAAACGGCATTTTTTTATTTATACTCGTTATTACTGCTAGCATAAACCGATAGACCTAAATTTTGAATATATTGTAACTAAATGTATAACTAGAATTTTTTTTTAGAATTTAGAATGAGTGGGAGGGGGGTTAATCACTGCAACCTTACAGATCCATTGTGTTCCCCTTTCTTGAGTCATAACTCATCATACAGTCCCAGGGCTTTGACAAAAGCCAGTATCTGGGACGGTTTTATAGAGGTGTTCATTGAGGAGACAGTGTCCTGTTAAAAACCCCGTGACAATCCGAAGATTGTTCTTACTCAGACCCAGGAAGATCTCTGATTTTTATTGATCATAAGCCCTCAGAAACTTCTTCGAGTGTCTTAGACCATTGCAAGATTTCCATTCCAGGTTGCGGATGGAATCTTCCAGGTTCTTCAGTTCCGCCTTGAGTTGGTTACCACTTGGAAAGCAGAACGGTTCTGGTCCAGTTAGTGGAGTGTTCGCTCCTTTCCTAGCTAGATTATTTGCTTTTCATTGCCTTCTATCCCTTGGTGAGCAGGCACCCAGTGTAGTGGACTTTGTTTTCTTTGCCTAATTTATTCAGCTTCTCTATGCATTCTTTGACCAATTTCGAATTGATTGATACTGAGTTGATCGCCTTTAACGCTGCTTGACTATCAGATAAGATGGCTATTTCCTGCTTCCGATAGTTCCTATCTAAGATAAGTTGTACGCATCTCTCGATAGCGTAGATTTCTGCCTGTAGGATACTAGGGTAAGTGCCCATAGGTTCGGAGTAATTAGCTCTCGGCCCAAACACTCCGATCCCTGTTCCCGTATTGGTTTTGGAAGCATCAGTATACCAAGTTATGGTATGGTCCTTTAACTGCTGGGCAAGCGCTTCGCTCTTCCAATCCTTCTAATTGCTCAATACTACATTGACATGTTTGTCAAAGTTGTACGTTCTTGGCATATCGTCCACTGGGAGTTGCAGGAGTGGTATTTCCTTTTTGAGGGTGTTCCAAGCCCCTGATCTGACAATTCTCTCTCTTCGACATGATTATAACCACTATAATGATTAAAATTTTACAATGTTATTTACCATCAAAGAACATCATGAATAAATATAGTCATTAGTTTTAAGTAATATACAACTGTGTTTTCTTTCTCTGTACATGCCTGGCGCCCAATATCTATTTTTTTTTGTTTATTGTCATTAATTAGTTTTCTGTCCAGTGAAATGCCTTATCCACGACTGCTCTCCGATGAAAAGCTGCCGTTCGCAGTGGTAGTTGTTTAAAAAACGCTATAATACCAAAACTAAAATACAAAAGAAAAATAAAATAATTTATCAAATAAAGATTGTGTATAATATGGTACTATGTATTTAAAATGCGAAGAAAAAGTAAAAAATATGTAAACGCTTTCAAAATTAGCAGTATTATGAAAAAAAATCTACAAACTAATAGATATCTGACTAAAGAACATTTTATTCAAAAAAAAGGAAATATTCGGAAATACCCGTATGTCCTGAATTGATTTCGACGAGAAAAATTAATTGGGCAAACGCGTGATAAATGTGCAACCGAGGAGGCTTTGTGCTTGAAAGCTTCGTTCATAAAGAAATCCTCGTGGTTATATCTGATCAATAGAAAGCTTTGAATTAAGTGGTACGAATAATAGAATTTGTTTTCGCTCCGCGCGACATTATTTCCACCCAATCAATAATGACAACTTTTAGGTTAATGAGATATTAATTATTTCCTGTTGTTTCTATTTGTAGTACGCATTAATGTATAACATAATAATTTATAAATATTTAACTATTTGTTAGATCATTAGAATAACTTTTGGTTTTACAGTGAAATGAAAATACTAGCGATTTTATTTATATTTGATATTTATTAAACTTTTAGTAACGTAATCGAGGGCGCGATTTTTAAATTCATTATTGGCCAACCATTGACATATTCGGCGCCGGCGCCGTGCTGACTAAGCGGAATTTAAATTTTGCGCTGGGAATTTGCTAGGTGGTAGCTCTGCTGCAATAAAGGTCAAGTTTCCGCATTTATTTATTTATTTCCTGACATTGTCATTCGTTTTAACAATTTAATTAATTTAATTTTGTTCCCGAAAATATTTTGATTAAAAGACAATTTATAAAAGTGGGCAACGCTGAGCCGTTGATGCTTAATCACGTGACAAAAAGTTTTATTTGGTATGAACTATAGAGATATAGTAATGTTAAGTTTGATATAATTGAGCGTCCGGATTGCACAACGACCTTAGCGCGTGGCCGCTTTGCTGCGCGCCGATTTAACAAAATAAATAATTTTAAAACTGCCGTCATTTCGTTAATAATTATCGTATCGTGTTGACTTTTGCATAGAAATACTCACGACTCTTTAGCGCTTCTGCCAAGCCTAAATAACTGGATTATTTTTTATATTTTCGATTTGTTTCCATTGCCCGAGCATATTATAACTTTGAGATAAAAATCTCTGTTATAAATTTTAAAACTGACAAATATGAATACTATCATTTAATTAGTTATACATTTAGTTACAACATATTCAAAATTTAGGTCTATCGGTTTATGCTAGCAGTAATAACGAGTATAAATAAAAAAGGGTCAGTGCAACGCTCGCCGTTTTTAGCGCACGTTCAGCTTTGGGTTTAGTTTTAGCGCTATTTTTACAGAAAATAAATTCTGAACTTTGATCAAATGACAAGAACATTATCATTGCCAATATCTCCTGGGTATAATGTAGTTCTTTTTTCAAAATATTGCATTGTTTTAGCTTAAAAAAAACTTGAATTATGCGGCTTTTTTTGCGAGAGCTAGTTAATAAAGAGATGGCTATGTACGTCAATCATAGCCACAATAGACTGTAATTTTGCCTCGTCACGTGATTTTTTGGAAATATTGCACTTCCATTTATCCGAATTTCTACTAACTTTTGACCTTTCTTTTCGGTCGCATTTCCCTCTATTTAATAATAAATAATTAAAAAAACCGCACAAATACTACTGGTAGTAAACAAGCTGTGGCAAAAATTTTCTATACTCCATGTAAACAAAAGACTATCGCAAATACTGTCTTTCGATTGACGTACATAGTCATCTCTTTATTAAAGCAGCAAAGGTAGCTCTCGCAAAAAAGCCGGATAATTCTATTTTTTTTAAGCTAAAACAATGCAATATTTTGAAAAAAGAACTACATTATAACCAGGAGATATCGGCAATGATAATGTTCTTGTCATTTGATCAAAGTTCAGAATTTATTTTCTGTAAAATTAGCGCTAAAACTAAAACCAAAGTGAACGTGCGCTAAAAACGGCATTTTTTAATTTATACTCGTTATTACTGCTAGCATAAACCGATAGACCTAAATTTTGAATATATTGTAACTAAATGTATAACTAGAATTTTTTTTTAGAATTTAGCATTCTTCGGCAGCATATTCTGCAGATAAAAATAAGTAAAAAAGTTCATATAAATGTATGTCCGAAAATGCTTAGTTTCGGAGATACAGGGTGTAGAAGTTTTATTTTTATTTCGATTTTTTCCAAATAATTTCCGATGAAGCGTCAATATTTGGATGAAAATCGGTGTCTGCGAGTTTTTTGACATGAGAAATTTGATTTTGATGTCAATATGGCTCCTGTTTGTAGGGGGCGCCACCTATATGTGTTTAACTGTTTTGAAAAGTAATAACTTTTCGCCCATACCTGTATAAAACTACTGAGTGAAAAAATATACATTTCCATTATTTTTTACGCAAAAAATGTCTCTTGGTAAAAATGGCTACGAGCAACCATTCTCAGGATATATAGAATGGAAATAATCAATACATATAATTATTGACAAAAAATAAACATGTTGAGTAAATAGTTATTTAACTGAAATGATAAATTTGGGAACTTCTTATTTTTTTAAATTAATCATAAATTTTTCTTCGAAAAACTGACGATAAAACAGTTTCTATTGAACTTTTGACACAAGAACATTAAAAATTTGTGATTTCAGCCTAATAACTATTTAGTCAACATGTTTAATTTATGTCAATGATTACAGATATTGATAATTTCGATTCCAAATATCACGAGAACCATTACTTGTAGCGATTTTCACCAAGAGATCTTTTTTACGCAAAAAGCAACAACACACAACCAAACCAAACCAAACCAAACCAAACCAAGAGATCTTTTTTACGCAAAAAGCGTGGTAAAAGTATATTTTTTTACTCGCTGGTTTAATCATGTACGGACGAAAAGTTATTACTCTTCAAACCTTCAACCGTCAACAACAACCTTCAACCGTAAACAACAACCTTCAACCGTCAACAACAACCTTCAACCGTCAACAACACGTCAACAATACGTACAAAATTTATCACAGAACTTCAATACGCTGACGACTGCGCTCTAGTTGCAAACACGATACAACAATTACAAGAAATGTTGAACAGATATACCTGAGCATACGAGGCTTTGGGCCTTAAGCTAAACATCGACAAAACCAAAATCATGTACACCCCCGCGGAAGATCACAACAATGCTATAAAAATCGGAGAAGAACTATTGGAATATGTGGCGGAATTCAATTACCTTGGCAGTTTGATTTCGGAAAAAGCCAATATTTACTCTGAAATTCAGCACAGGATTAGTAGCGCCTCAAGAGCATTCTGGAAATTAAAAGACAGGTAAGAGGAGGCCGGGTGGACAACTGAAAAGGTACAAGGACATTTTCCACGAAAATTTAAAGGGAATTAACATGCAGAAGGAGTGGGAAAAAGCAGCTCACAATAGAACTCAATGGAGAAGGGTTGTAAACTTAGTTAACAACGGCAACCAAAAAGTAAAGAGGCAACAAAGCAATGAGATTTTTGAATGTCCGGAGTGCGGTAGGCAGATAACATCACGTATCGGGCTTTTCAGTCACAGAAAAGCTCTGGAAAGAAAACGCCTTGCGTGATCTTCTTTATGTGTGTCGAATACTCGTTAGCGAGTAACGGCTGTGTGTATGTATGTATGAACTCTTCAAACCATTTAAAAATATGTAGGTGGCGCCCTCTACAAGAAGGAGTCATATTGACATCAAAATCAAATTTCTCATGTCAAAAAACTTCCAGACACCAATTTTCATCCAAATATTGATGTTACTTCAGAAATCATTTGGAAAAAATCGAAATAAAAATGAAATTTCTACACCCTGTATCTGCGAAAGTAAGTATTTTAGGACATACATTTATAAGAACTTTTTTACCTGTTTTTGGTTTTTGGAATATGCTGACGAAGTTTCCGGAATACAGTCTGCACCACCCTGTATATTCAATAAAATATTTTTCAATACATCGATAAAACCGCCAAAAAACTAAATGCAAAAAAAACTTGCAACTGCATCTATTGGTTACTTGTATAACACGATGATAGAGGTTTTGCGCCTCTTATACGTTTGAAATATATTTCCTAAGAGACCAAAGACGAGCCTTTTTATGTGTGTATGTTGACAACAAATTTTGCCATTTATTCTTTAATAGATCTTTTTAGGAGTCAAGGGTATGTCTTTTTCTCTAGGGTGTCAAGGGAAAAAATATTACGAAAATTGCCCCTTTAAATTATATTTCCTCTGAAACGTTGCGATATTATCGAAATAAGTTGGCGATTTTCCTTTAATTAGTTGAAAAAACATTTCTAATAATTACCTCCTTGGATTTTTTATTTAACTATTTAATTATTAATAGAAACAAAATTTTAATTAGTAAAATATGACCTATATTAGCAGTTGTATATCAAAATGATTTACATATTCAGATTTAGTCTTTCACTAATATTTTTTTCTTTATGTTTTAGGTCTCCCATAAGTTGAATGTTAATATAAACGGTAAGTATTATGGCTTTATTTGCAATATGAATTTATTCCATATCCTAAATTAATAAAAAAGACTATTTTATATTGTATAAATTAATTTATTAATAACCCAGTGAGGCAAAGTTTTGTCACATTTAGGGAACAGTTACGTATCTGCGTTTTATTTGTGCGATCATTTGCGCACGCTGTGTGCGTGCGCAATTGACCGCACAAATAAAAAAAAACGTTTCGAAACTGTTACTTTTATGTGCCCAGTATAGGTGATATCTATATACGATACTAATCAGATGTATTGTGTTTACAGGATGTATTAAAGTAAAAACATTAAACGTAATTGTTTAAATATCTTAAAATTAGGAATCAATTTTGTAGAGATTAATAATATCTATAATTACTTACGCATCCTTGTTGCTATAGCCAGATAGTTTAATATAACTATATATATTTACTAAAATTATTTCAATACGTTTTGAACACTTAAAGAGTTCTGGTTCTTCAAAGTCCTTTTAAAGGCCTTTTTAAAAGAATTTGTATTCTTTAAAAAGAATTCTTCCAACTATAAAGATGAAAAGAACATTTTTCAGTCTATTTTAACGTTATAATAAAAATACTTTTCTTTCAGTTACTCACAGAAAATATAGTAACACATACAATTATATGTATATTACCATTTACAGCTCACTGTATTCGAATCTATACATAAACATTTTTCTCACATAAATATTGTTTTATAAATTTGATGCTAATTTTGTATATTAATGCGTTTTATCAACGATTCGCTTATTGAAAACGTATTTATTTAATTTTTTTCTTCTTCCTGTTTTTCTATATATATTTATTCAGTAACTGGGCACAGGTGTTAATAGTATAATGCTTTCCTTGGGTAACTGTGCCATTTCCAAGAGCGTAGGACAGATGTGTTCCACGCTACAATAGATTATACTATTATTTTTTTCATAAAACTTCTCTCTTCCACTCCATTTGTTTTTATTTAGACGTTGTATTCGATAGGACCAGCCTAAACTATTTACATCTACATATTTACTACCCTTTTACGTGACATTTTACATGTATAATGAAAAAAACACAATTACAAATCTTTTCTTTTAATTTTATTTAGTGGTTCATTGAATAACGATAAAGGTATACGATATACAGGAGAACAAAGGAATATGTAAAATAGAACATATACTATAATATTTGCAATTTTATAATAATGTAATACCTAATAATAGGTAAAACATATTAAATTCAGAATTACTAAAAAAATAAACTCGTTAGCATATAATCTATAGTCTATACTAATATATAAAATCCTTAAGTGACTGACATACTGATTAATCACAATTCTGCTCAAACCACTCAACGTAAGAAACTCAATTTTGGCATACAGGTTGATTCTAAGGTGTAGAGGTTCGATAAAAAGGGATTTTTCGAAATTCCAGTTCCAAGGGGGTGAAACCGCCCCTCAACTATTACAATATTTTTTATTTAAAAGACGGTCAAGTTTCCGAAAAAACGCTTAAACACGTATATTTTATTTTGTTTTTTTACATATTTTAAGATTTTTTGAAAATGTATACAGGGTGTTTCGAAAAATCTGGTCATTGATTAATCACGATCCTGCTTAAAGCGCTTGACGTAAAAAGCTGATTTTTGGAAAACAGATTGACTTTAGGGTGTAGAGGTTCGATAGAAGGGATTTTTCGAAACTCGAATTCTAAGGGGGTGAAACTATCCGTCAAATATTAAAATATTTTTTATTTAAAAACCGGTGAGTTTCTCCGAAAAACTCTCGAAAAAGATTTTTTATAAATTTATACAGGGTGTTTCATAAAATATGACCATTGAGTAATCATGATTCTGCTTGAACTGCTTGACGTTTAAAGCTGATTTTTGGCAAACGGATTGACTAAGGGATGTAGAGATTCAATAAGGAGGGGTTTCTGGAATCTCAAATTCCAAGAGGGTGAAATAAACGCCCCTCAAATATTAAAATATTTGTTATTTAAAAAACGGTTAGTCTTTCGGGAAAACGCTTGGACAAGCATAATTTATTTGGTTTTTTTACATATTTTGAAATTTTTTAAAAAATCATACAGTGTGTTCCAAAAAGTTGGGTAATTTCTTAACCACGATTCTGCTTAAACTGCTTGACGTAAAAAGCTTATTTTTGGCAAACGGATTTTTCGAAAGTCAAATTCCAACGAGATGAAACTACCCGTCAAATATTACAAGGTTATATAATAATATCGCTATATTGTTTTTTCTCATGCTGACATAAATGTGAGAAAATTTTATCCAGTTTGTATGTAATTGGAAATTCTTGCTTTGCTTTATCATCACCATTAGAAATGATTAATTCGACGCGAACGAAGTCGCTGGTACACGCTAGTATATTATATTAGTACAGGATCCGGCAGCATGATTATTAAACTTATCGCATTTTTAATCAAAATCTAATTTTTAAGTATAATTATAAATAGGAGAATACACTTTTCACAGGGTACGTATCAAAAACTTGCCTCAAATAGGGGTTGCCACGGTTCAAGGTTTTTCCTATGAGCCCGGCAACATAGCTCCTATAATAAAAAACTTTGGTTAGGTTAAGAATTTGGTATAAGTGCCAAACAAAAGTATATAAAATTTTAGAGTCATATTGACATTAGGTAGGGGTGGGGGTAGTTTTCACCCACCCTGTACTTTTTCTTAACTTTTGTGAAAGTTAAATGTTAAAGCATGCAGCAAAACATACGAGTAGATACCCAATATCTCATTCAAATCGGAATAACGGTTTTTAAAATATCTGTAAAAATGTGTTTATTTTTTTTAATAATAAGTGTTTATTTTTTTTAATAATAAGCATAAGTTTGATGTTTTACCTCTAACGGACATACGATGCACTTTTGGATAGAAGTAATTTTTTTCCAATAGACATATTTTGATTCTAAAAATACGTAATAGTTCTATGTCCACGGAATATTGGGACACCCACCAAACAGGGGGAAATTTTTGAGTGTTCGGATTATCGAAGCCGTACTGTAATTCAATTGTAAAGTTTAACAGTTACTAAAATAACAGTTAACTAAACTAATAATTAGTTTAGTTAACTGTTATATTAGTATTTTAATAAAACACGCTTTTAGATGTATCAAAAAACTTTTAATAAGAGTAACTTTAACTCTACATATATGTTTCGGCTTCTTAGGCCTTTTTCAAGAGTTTTTTAAGAACATCTTAAAACGTGTTTTATTAAAATACTAATATTTCAACGATGTTTCACAAGGAACCAACCACAGCTTCACTACAATTTAGTTAACTGTTACTTTTCTAACAAACAAAATAACTTTTCTAACAAAAATTTATTTTTTACGGCAGATCCATGCAAATATTTGAATTTCTTTGTGAACATCAATTTATTACAGTAACATCATGTATAGTAAACGCCACGAATGTTTGGGAGTGATTCATCGGTCGCTACCATGTGAACTAATCTGTTCAAGGTCACATAAAACTTAATTCCAGTGCCGTGGTCTTTCAAGTCATATAATAATCAATATATAATCTGTTGTAATTTGTTGTTTTAACTGTCGAAGTCTTGTCAAAACATATATTTGGTTATAAATATAAAATGGAATGCCCCATTGGTCGCACTGCAAGCACACCAATGGACTGACGCACAAAAACGAATCAATCAAAGAAACGCGATATAGTATCGTCTTTGTCAATCACGCTAACATTTTAGAATAAGTAGGAGGAGCGCAGGCAGATGATTAGACTAGGTCTTTAAAAACCTACGTCTGCGGTAAAAATTTACGTTTTTAATGTAAAAATGATAGCGCGCGTGTCGATTCTAACTTCATCAAGCGATGAATCACTCCCAAACATTCGTGGCGTTTACTCTAGTCCTTAACATTTTTGCCCTGATTCTTCTTTCATCACGACGCATTATGGTTTCTAGAAGCTAATTTTTTGGCCAAAATACATATTTTAGACTCACTGTATATGGACTTTTTTTGTAAGTGGAATGCAAGCAGATATACAAATGAAGAATACCACATGCATATATTTTTGTTTAATTTTAATTTTTATTCCTCATCAGCATTTATATTTAGACGTTCTAGTAAAGTATTTGTGCCTATTTAGTTGTTGTTTATTTTCGGAAGAGTTTTGATAAATATTAAGTGATATATTTCAGTGGGATATAAAAACGGATTACTGTTATTTTTACACTTTATGGTATGTATTTTTAAGAAATCACTTACAATTGCACATAAGAATCAGCGTCCATTATTTTTTAATTAATTAAAAATAATGAGTATAAGACAGAACATAAATAAAAGTAAAAGTTTAGTTTGACTTATAAAAAAATTCTCCATGTTTCTCCATGCTAGATGTTATTGTAAAATTTGAAACAATCCTTTCTGAACACATATCAAAGAAAAAATTGGCTGCTACTAGCTGCAACTTTTTTAAAAAATTTTTTTTTCACCTATGTGTCGATTGAAAAAAATAGATCTTTTGGAAAAATCTTTGGGAAAAATGGCTACAAGAGGCCGATAAAGTTGAGAAAAACGGGTATGTTTTAAATTTTGTAAGACAGAAAGTTCAGAATAATGAACAAGAGCTATCAGGCACAATGGAAAAAAGATAAATCGCCTTTGTATAAATTTTGAAAGAAGATAGCAGGCGGCTTTAAAGATTTATTTTTAAAACAAAATGAAGACTGGTTAAAGGAGGATTTTATCCTTGAGTTAAATGAACCCCTTCCATCTACATCATCTGCCGGCCGTCCTCGATTACCTTTTTCGGAGCAATCTTCCAGAACCCAGAGAAGGACGGCCTCAAAATTTTCCGAGGAACATAAGCAGGATTGGGCTTTACTTGTGCAGGCTGCTTTGTAAATTTAGTTATCCTGCCGATGTACTTAACCTACTTCGTGTACCTGACTTTATGGAAAAGAAGTTTAATGAAGAACAATTTCAAGAAAAGCATGGAAAACAAGAGAAATA